ACCACAGGCCAGAGCGACAAGGGGTGTGAGACCTGACCTGAGGCCAGAGCGACAAGGGATGTGATAACTGACCAAAGGCCAGAGAGAGAAGCATACTTGAGAAACATGTACTATGTTATATTAAGACATAAATATAACATTAATTTGTTAAATACCCACCAGAAGTATACTGCCCCCAACCTCGCGCGACAAACCACACTTTAAAAATAAAATCGTTAAGTTTGTATACGAGTGCACATTTAAACAGTTGTTGAAAGTTGTTGAAAAATGTTGAAAGTTGTTGAAAGTTGTTGAAAGTTGTTGAAAATTGTTGAATATTGTTGAAAGTTGTTGAAAGTTGTTGAAAGTTGTTGAAAATTGTTGAAAATTGTTGAAAGTTGTTGAAAGTTGTTGAAAGTTGTTGAAAGTTGTTGAAAATTGTTGAAAGTTGTTGAAAGTTATTGAAAGTTGTTGAAAGTTTTGAAAGTTGTTGAAAATTGTTAAAGGTTGTTGAAAGTTGAAAGTTTTGAAAATTGTTGAAAGTTGTTGAAAGTTGTTGAAAGTTGTTGCATTTTAAGGAATGGATAATGTCCTCAAAAGTTTCTGAGACAATTTAGAGAAAATCCAATTAAATTAGCCATTACATCCAGATGAGCGAAGAAAATACAATATTAATTTTCAGCAAGATTACAACACTATTTTATCACTTAATTTTTATTGTGTTAACACAATTAACACAATGAATAAACATGGCATACATTGAAGAGTTAAAATAAGACAAGGAATTATAACATGATCGCGGACATTTGAAAGACTCTCGACTCGAGATATTTGTTTGTGTAAGAAGTCTTACGGCTAAGAATTTTGTATGAAGTGTTTTATCTCCTTGATGTGATCGGATCCTGTGTCTTTTAATGACGTAGAACAAAACCAACACATTGATCCTGTCTCTTTTAATCATCTAGAACACAACCAACACATCGATCCTGTCTCTTTTAATGATCTATAACACAACCAACACATCGATCATGTCTCTTTTAATGATCTAGAACACAACCAACACATTGATCCTGTCCTTTTAATGATCTAGAAAACCACCTACACATCGATCCTGTCTCTATTAATGATCTAGAACACAACCAACACATCGATCCTGTCTCTATTAATGATCTAGAACACAACCAAGATATCGATCCTGTCTCTATTAATGATCTAGAACACAACCAACACATTGATCATGTCTCTATTAATGACCTAGAACACAACCAACACATTGAGCCTGTCTCTATTAATGACCTAGAACACAACCAACACATCGATCCTATCTCTATTAATGATCTAGAACACAACCAACACATCGATCCTGTCTCTATTAATGACCTAGAACACAACCAACACATTGATCCTGTCTCTATTAATGATCTAGAGCACAACCAACACATTGATCCTGTCTCTATTAATGATCTAGAACACAACCAGCACATTGATCCTGTCTCTATTAATGATCTAGAACACAACCAACACATTGATCCTGTCTCTATTAATGATTTAGAGCACAACCAACACATTGATCCTGTCTCTATTAATGATCTAGAACAAAACCAACAGGTCGATCCTGTCTCTATTAATGATCTAGAACACAACCAACACATTGATCCTATCTCCATTAATGATCTAGAACACAACCAACACATTGATCCTGTCTCTATTAATGATCTAGAGCACAACCAACACATTGATCCTGTCTTTATTAATGTTCTAGAATACAACAAACACATTGATTCTGTTTCTATTAATGATCTAGAACACAAACAACACATTGATCCTCTCTCTTTTAATGATCTAGAACACAACCAACACATTGATCCTGTCTCTATTAATGACCTAGAACACAACCAACACATTGATGTTGTCTCTTTTAATGATCTAGAACACAACCAACTCATTGATCCTGTCTCTATTAATGACCTAGAAAACAACCAACACATCGATCCTATCTCTTCTAATGATCTAGAATACAACCAACACATCGATCCTGTCTCTATTAATGATCTAGAACACAACCAACACATTGATCATGTCTCTATTAATGATCTAGAACACAACCAACACATTGATCCTGTCTCTTTCAATGATCTAGAACACAACCAACACACTGATCCTGTCTCTTTTAATGACCTAGAACACAACCAGCACATTGATCCTGTCTCTTTTAATGATCTAGAACACAACCAACACATTGATCCTGTCTCTTTTAATGATCTAGAACGAAACCAACACATCGATCCTGTCTCTATTAATGATCTAGAACACAACCAACACATTGATCATGTCTCCATTAATGATCTAGAACGCAACCAACACATTGATCCTTTTTTGTTTCTCTTACATTTTCATGTCAGCCTTGGAACAGTTCATTTCACGGAGATTTCATCCGCGAATATGCTCAGAGGAACACGAAAATCAATAATGATTACGATACGAAAGTGATAGTCGGGGCTCACCTTAAAGGCCCAGAATCACCGGGCAGTGTCTTGTACTTCAGGGATTCTGTGGTTTACTCACAGGGCATTACGGTGAGAGATATATGTAACTATTAATACATTTTTTTTTAAAAATCCTGTGATAAAAATGTGATATTGAGCAATGGCGTCTAGGGCTGAAAATATGACAAGACACGCATCCAAGTAACGCCTTTTAAAAGATCCCCCCCCCCCCCAAGCCCGACACACAAACAAGGCACGTAGCTGCACATTGATTTTACGCCGCTGAACAATAATACTATTGAAATAGCCACCCGTTTTTACGCCGAGGATTTATTTCACCATTTATGTCAGAAAAACAAAAGAAAATAGTACGCAACAATTGCTCTTATTTGTTTTTAATTTTTAAAGAATATTATTTTTAGCAGTTATCAGGAATTAGGTTCGTGAGATGAGTGTCATCATTTTTCCTTTATCTTCTTGTGAAAAACAGGAAAATCTTATTTTGGACGGTTAATGTTGAAGGGTGTTGTTAAAAACTTGATAGTAGGTTTTTCCCTGGCATCGAGTCTATAAGCCACGTTTCATCACGATTCGTTGACGGGAAGTGGGTCAATTAGCAGTTACATCATCGTTCCTGCCAGCCAACCACCCAGTCAAATAAAATATAACATTCGCTTGGACCAGTGGTCGAAAAAAACTCAATATTCACTAAACGAAAATTCAGCAGCAGTACGATTAAAATATTTTTGAGAGCCAAATTTCTTTTCAAGAACCATGTTTTTCGTAATCAAAACCGATTTGTAGCCGACTGCCCGAGCCGGTGCACTCAGGTCACGAAAAAAACCCAAGCGGCTCTTAAGCCACAATTTTCCGACAACCGGCTTAGACGTAAGTAAAATTAAAAAAATATTGTATTTATTTATTTATTTTTTTTTAAACTAGGTCCAACTCTATCTAAACGCACATGTCAGGTATGCACTGGGAAAGGACTACTCGATCCAAAGCGGAGTTCATCACCTGCGAGAAAGGATGGGTTGGGTATCGTGGAGGTTAACGAGCCTCTACTTCAAGCTCTTGTTCGCAGTCCTCCCGGCGGTGTTCATTCACGGGCCCATCTCAGAGAGTGCAGTAAGTTGATTTTTTTTTTCCACCCGTCACTGGCGATTTGGGTCGATGCAGCAATTTGGAGTCTTGAAAAGAAGACGAACGGACATCTGGAATGGTGTCGCTAGTATCAAGAGTCCTAACAAATGAGTGAAGTGCTTTTTTTTTTTAAAAAAAAATTTACCTAATTAATTATTGAAATTAGTGCAAGAAATAAATGCTGAGACCCACAACTAGTCGGCACACGATAAAGGATTTGCCTGAATACATATATAAAAGGCATAATATACATGGCATCCTTTCACCTTCGTGGGGAACAATGGAGGAGCTTATTGATACTTCACCGAGGTCTTAGGATGCTGATCCTGGAATGACATTCACGTATTCGCCTCTGGTTAACTCTTGCCTTAAGTAAAATTCTTCCTGTTGCAACGTCATCGTTTCATCCACCTTTTGTCTGTTTGATTCACTGATTATTATTGTTCGGCTTTCGCCCGCGAAGACGACTAAGGCAATTATAGACTTGAGTGGTAGTCTTGGTTTGAGCTGTGTTTTGTTTAAAGTGATAGAGAGTTGCTCAACTTGCCAGTCTAACTCCCTCGTCCTTGCCTATTTGATCAAATGGCAAGACTTAGTCAAGACGGCTGGACATAGACCAGGATCCAGTAGGTGACCAACAGTGTGTGTCTTGTGTCTCCCTGTGGCTCTTCGTGCATTCTACGTCGCAGAAGTTGTCGGAATTTTCTTTTCGTCGTTGTCATACCGCCCACGGTACTCCATCTCCAGGTCTGATTTAATAGTTTCCCTTCTCTTAGAACAGTGGTTCTCAACCTTCCTAATGCCGCGGGCCTCTCAGAGCTCTGAGTTAGTCACCTTGGCTTGAAGTCAAATTCGCGAAATGAGACGCAGGCATATCTGGGGCGGAAACTGTTGTATTTCTGCAAACTAGTAGCATATGTGGTCCACACCTCACTGGGTCCACACTCCACTGCCTTATAGGAGCACACTGAGCACACAAGCCTAAAAGCCGATTTCTTTTGTTGGAGTTGTTAGATAATTAAGGATTTTTCCACACGCATTATTTAATGTCACATAATTGCAGCTGCTTTTGCAATCCTGATCTTCACCTCTTAGTCAACGGAGATCGGGCTAGAGACATTGAACCAGTGGTACGTGAAATCCGCAACTACTTGACAGACTATGAATCTGAAAAGCTATATTTTGAGGTGATTTTGTTTCTTGCACAATCATACGTGTTTTCTTTAGAGTCTAGACTAATGGGAACCAACCAAAACTCTTTACATGCGTGGAAGTGTCGATGATCTAAAAACTTCATACCCACTTCTGTACGTTAAGTTGTCACATATGAACGGCAGGTCACGAATCAGCACGTTTTTAAAAAAAAATCTTGACAAATATGATCTCATTCATCAGATTGGGGCGAAACATCTTCAGACACTGAGTGGAGTCAACCCCCTGGCCTACTGGCTAGGAACATTTTTGTTTGACCTCGCCAAGCTCTTGTTCATTGTGGCCACCATGATCCTGCCATTGCTATGTACTTCGGACGTCTTCCTGATGGAGAACCGCTGGGTGATCATCATGTTCATCACGCTGACCTACAGTCTGACGGCGCTTCCGTTTACGTACTGCCTGCAGCTGCTCTTCGTCCGTCCCGCTGACGGAGTAGCAGCCGTCGTCACTTCCAATCTGATCATGGGTAAATATCGTGCTTTAAACATTATAGCGGTCATTTAACACCCTCCAACCCCCCCCCCCTTCCGCTCATAATATACTATTTAATAGAGAGAACACAACTCTCAAACGTCTGTTTCAATAAATTATTATTATTATTAATATCATCATTGTTTTGTTGATAAATTAACATCTTTTTTAAATTTTCCGACTAACAACTCAGACTCCACGATTCCTTTCACATTTTTAGATTTACTCCCTGAGACATAGTCCAACATAGTCATTCATTTTTTTACTTCAGGAATTATAGTCCTAGAAACAGAGCCACAGTTCAGTTCAATCCATTCAATTACATATATTAATCTGCTTCTAACCTTGCTGGTACCAAACTATGCCGTTACTAAACTTTTCCCGTATTTTCTTGATATATCCAAGAATCTAGGATGTGATAAGAAAATAAAGGCAATATATCCATTGATCCCATTTTTTGTCTTATTTTTCTAATTTCTTTATATTTGTCTTGTTATTGCATTTGCACATATTAACGTGAAGCATCATAACATTTGAAAGCTGTTTCCTAACCCTCGGTCATCGAACAGTAATCATCTCATCTGTGTTTTTTGTATATCTGGTCTTTGCTTTTGTTTATACATCCAGGGTTCGTATTCGTAGAGACAATGCTTTACTACAGATCGATCCATATCATTAAGGACATTAATCTGCTGCTGACCCTGCTGATCCCGAACTACGCCTTTTATTCGGCTTTTCACCGTATGGTCTTCACATACGCACAGGAATGGGAAAACGGTACACGTTGAGTTATTGCCCCTGTTTCTTTACAACCACGGGCTTTATGGAATTATTTCTTTAATATGTTTAATTTACTTAAACCTACTTTGGCAATATGCTACACAATTGAAATAGATTTTAAACTTTTCACAGATGAGTAGTCTTTATTGACACAGTATGGTGTTGTACGTGTCAAATAGGTCATCATGCCTTTCTCTGACAATCTTTTGGGGCCATTTTAAATCACAACGCAGGAAATGGGGATCATATTGGTCTGGGTTATCCTGTTATCCGTTCATATCTGGGTTAGTTCTTCAACTGTTTATCCTGTTACGCTTGGCAGGAATTTAGGGGCTTTGCTTATTTATCCATCAATACACTATGTAAAGCATGTTGTAAGAATGTTAGTCGGTGCGTTTTATAACCGCTGTATGGGCCTGCGACCCCCCACCCCCCCCTCCTCGCTGTGACGAGGAGAACGCTCGAGCTACTTTCCCCACACTCGCTCGCAACAAATATTGGTGTGACTCCGGGAACTCTGACCCGGCGCCCCCTAACCCATCTGTCCACTTTCCCCACACACCCAAAGTGTCATACGGCAATTTCAGATTTCAACTGTTTCAGTAGCGAGACAAGAGAATATTGTCTACCGATCTAGAGGTAGTTCTTCAACTGTTTCAGTAGCGAGACAAGAGAATATTGTCTGCCGATCTAGAGGTAGTTCTTCAACTGTTTCAGTAGCGAGACAAGAGAATATTGTCTACCGATCTAGAGGTAGTTCTTCAACTGTTTCAGTAGCGAGACAAGAGAATATTGTCTACCGATCTAGAGGTAGTTCTTCAACTGTTTCAGTAGCGAGACAAGAGAATATTGTCTACCGATCTAGAGTTAGTTCTTCAACTGTTTCAGTAGCGAGACAAGAGAATATTGTCTACCGATCTAGAGGTAGTTCTTCAACTGTTTCAGTAGCGAGACAAGAGAATATTGTCTACCGATCTAGAGGTAGTTCTTCAACTGTTTCAGTAGCGAGACAAGAGAATATTGTCTACCGATCTAGAGGTAGTTCTTCAACTGTTTCAGTAGCGAGACAAGAGAATATTGTCTACCGATCTAGAGGTAGTTCTTCAACTGTTTCAGTAGCGAGACGAGAGAATATTGTCTACCGATCTAGAGGTAGTTCTTCAACTGTTTCAGTAGCGAGACAAGAGAATATTGTCTACCGATCTAGAGTTAGTTCTTCAACTGTTTCAGTAGCGAGACAAGAGAATATTGTCTACCGATCTAGAGGTAGTTCTTCAACTGTTTCAGTAGCGAGACAAGAGAATATTGTCTACCGATCTAGAGGTAGTTCTTCAACTGTTTCAGTAGCGAGACAAGAGAATATTGTCTACCGATCTAGAGGTAGTTCTTCAACTGTTTCAGTAGCGAGACAAGAGAATATTGTCTACCGATCTAGAGTTAGTTCTTCAACTGTTTCAGTAGCGAGACAAGAGAATATTGTCT